AGCACATGTGCAGTGCCAATCCAAGTGCTAGAGTCCTGCACTGCATAAATAAAAAGGGAAAGATAACTTAGTAAGCGAGTTCATCACTTTCTTCTTCCTGACTATAGATGACACGTATTATCTGCTCTAGTTCCTGCTGTCATGACCTCCCAAACTTAATGAACTATGTGATGGCTATTCTTAGTTGTCAACTTGACTATATCCGGAATTGACCAAAACCCAAGAATTTTTTTTCTTAATCGAATCATTTGAAGTGGGGAGATCCACTTCTAATGTAGACCCTATAGGTGTGAAACTCATCCTTTAATGTGTGCCACACCACCTGCCAGCAGCCTATATAAAGGGCAGAGAAGAAGGAAGGTTGCCCTCCCTTTGCCTACTTGTTCTTGATCTTGCTGGAAAATCCATTCCTTCATTGGCATTAGAGCTCACTTCTGAATAACTCTTGGTTGGACCTTCCGTTGGCAGACAATCATTGTTGGACTAGCTGTACCACAGTCTGTAAGCCACTCTAATAAATTCTGTGTGTGTGTGTGTGTGTGTGTGTGTGTGTGTGTGTGTGTGTACATATGAATGAAATATATGTATTTCATTCTGCAAGTCCTGTTCTGCAGCAAATCCTGACTAATATGACTGCATCTGTGAACTGTGAGTTAAAACCAACCCCTCTGCTCCCCTCAAGTTGCTTCTTGTCAGATGTTTGCTCATGAAAATGAGAACAGTAACCTCAACACTCCGTATTTTTGTTTTCTCCCACTTTAGACAAAGTTTTATCACAAAGAAATAAGTGCAAATCACTTCTAATCTTACATCCAGTGATAATCCACTTAATATTTGCTAAATATCTTTTAAGGTATTTTTCTATGTATATTTATGTGTAAAACCACATAAGGATAAAAAAAGCAAGCTGAAGTCCTTAAAAAATCTCATTTTCACTTGGAAACCTCTTGTGTTACCCACTTTCTATGCCCATCACCATGTTCTTCATTGTTCTCTCAAATTGTTCCTTAATGATGTTTTCTCAAACATCACAATATCACATTTTGTTGTTATAAATAATGGCTTTAAAAAATACCTTTTTCCTGAATGGAGAATCTGCATCCCGCTCTAAAGCAATTCCTACAGACAGTTTTGGCTCTTGTCCCTATCTAAGTGGTCTGATTTGAAGTGTATCCCAGGGGAATGTATTTTTCAAGCTCATCTGTTTTGATTTCTTACTCAGAAGGGACAAAGGGATGAAAAATATTTTGCAATTTTCTGAGCATCTCCTATGTGCCAGGTATTGTGTGGAGTGTGTCAAGCCGTTCCCAGTTGAGGCTGTATTTATTTTCTAACTCCAGAGAAACTGAGTTGGATGAGTCTGCACACTTTAGTAGAGAAGGATTCAAATTTCTTTTAGACTGATCACAATGTGTGTCTTTTCTGCCTGACCTGATGCACAGGCTGCAGAATTCTTGGGATTTTTCATTCTCCTTTGACATGAAGTCACTAACATGGGGAAAATATGGTCCAGAGACGGTGTAAGGTACACAGTTCATGCATTGTGCACAATGTATTTCTTACCTGCTTGAGTACCACACTGTGCTCCACCGCACGGGGTATGCAGAAAAAGTACATTTCTTAGTTTTGCCTGAGAGAACTTTGTGGAACTCCTGGCCCAATTTGTACCAGTTGTCTATCCTCAGAATGCAACACTGGGCAATATGTCCTCATATCCACACCAAAGGAGAAAACTAAAAGAGAAGAATCTATAAATATCAGCTGCCTTCCCACCCAAAAATGAAAAGCAAATCTGAGACAGTGGTTATTTTTCAGGTAGCCATATTTTTGTGAATAGTATCCCTGAAATGGGAAATGTATGTTTAATTAATTCTCCTCATATTTTGGGAGAAATGTTATGTTCTGGGTAACTTAAAAATAATGCAAAGGCTATTTTCTTAGTTTGTACATTCTCTTTGCAAGTTGCTTGACCAATCACAAATCACAAACCAGTCATTACAATGTTGATGTAACAATGAGGAGGGACATTAAATTTTTTTGTCATCAATTGGCTAGACATTGAAGATACTGTCTGTATCCTTGCTAGGTATTCAAATGGACTTTCATCTTCCTTAACTTGCTAATCTATACAGTCTGGGCTATGCTTTCCTGTGGTGTAATACTGGATCCAAACATGGAACAGGTAAATTTGGAAGTCATCTCCATGTTATCTAAACTGATGGGAACCAAAAAGAAGAAGAAATGGAGGAGAGTGAAAGAAATAGATGCCTCACAGACTTCCAGTATGGATTACTTAATTCCTGCTTCTGATGGTGTCCCCTAATATCATGGATTGTGAGTTTGATATCCTGTGCAGCAGCATTGTAGGTGGGCCTTTCAGAAATGATGAGATGACAAGAGTTCTGCCTTCCTGAGTGGATCAATGCCACTGCCAAGGGAATGGTCAGCCTAAGAGTTTGTTTCTGTTTACTTGAGTTTACTCTCTTTTCTCTCTCCATGTCACCTTGCCCCCCTCTTATACCTTCTGCCATGACATGATGCAGTATTGAGAATCCCAGACTGGAACATCTTGATATTGGATTTTCTAGCCTCCAAAAAACATGACATATGATTTAATTTCATTATAAACCATCTAGTTTTATGTATCCCAACAGGAGGAAACAGATGAAAACTAGCTTTTTTTGTAGGACAATGGGAAGGACACATTTAAGGACTAGATAGCTTTACAAACTCAAAGTTCAAAAACATTGTGAAACTTTGTAGCTAAGTGAAGCCTTTCATGGAAATGGTCTATTGAGAAAGTATGTAGAACCTAGCCATAATTTGACTTTAGGGTGGTGAAAACCTCTCTGAAATTGAACTTCATATGCCAATTAATACCCACTTCTCAGGGACTGAAAAACTAAGTATATAAAGAGCAAAGGCATGTTATACATTGATAATGGTCTTATCTGTTCTTAGAACTACAAGAAATAAATCTGTACCCTTTTTCAATTAAAATATAATTTTATCTTTTCTCCCTTTCCCTTTCCTCTCTCCTCCCTTCAGCCCCCCCCACCGCACTTCTCAAATTCATGGACTGTTTTTCTTTAATTGCTATTGTTACAAATGCATAAATATATAAATACAATCGTCTCAGTCTGCTTAGTCAACTAAACAGATTTCTTCTCTCCATATTAGCATACCCATTGGTGTTGTACATGTTCATTTCTTGTTTAGGCAGCCACAATGTTACAGTATCATGGGTAAATTTTCCATGTCATTTTAGGAGATGCAATCTCATAGCAGATTTCCTGGTCCTCTGGCTCTCACAGACTTTCCCCCCATTCTTCAGTGATCTTCCTTTGAGCCTCACTTCTTATAGAAGAAACTTCTCTTTCCAACAGATGCAGACTGTTACAGAAAACCACAACTGGTCAAAATGCAGGGAGCAACTAACAGTGAGGTGGCCAGCTCCAACTGATACTTCTGCAACACAACTCCCCTATGTATTCTTTATAAATTAGTTTGTCGTTGGTACTCCACTGCTACAAAGTGAAACAAAACAAACATGAAACTGGACCAAGACTAAGTTCCTTTTATAATGTGTCTTAGGTAGATGACTGTGATTCAGGCATGCTGGACATCTTTCAGACCTGTATCTCCCGCTTGCCAATACCTATTCTGAAGGCAAATGGAAGTATGACCTTATAGAACTGCAGGATTGCGGGGGTAGGGACTGTCTTGAGTGCAGAATGGTTCCTGTCCGTATCCGTGAAGTTGAGCCTTCTCTATACCTACTGCATTTATCTAAGTCCTGTGGTAGGCAGGAGTGGTGAATAGGTTTGGAGGTAATTCTACCTCAGGAAAAGTTTGCAAAACCTTGTGCCTAAGAAGTACAGCTATGTCTCTAGATAACAGACTGTGGCATTACTCCCAAAGAAGAACTCCCAATTTCATGAGGAAGACACCAAGCGATCAGTAGAGAGGAGTTGTCCTGTGAGGTTACAGCAGGGCTACTAAGTGTCTAGAGAAACGTGAGGAGGAGGAGGAGGGACTCTAGTGTGTGAGTAAACATAAGAGTCTCACTGGGGATTTACTAGAAATTCTTTGGGAGTATTTAATCAAGCACAAATCTCTGAAATCTGATTTGTAATGTGACCACACTGGTATGTACTGGCCTAAAGAATTAATCGGCACTTGAAATTTCATAAAGATTTGGATTCCTCAAGATGCAAATCAATATGGCGGTTTGTCACACTTTTCTTTCAACTCCTCAAATTCCTGTTTTCCCCTAGCATGCACTGTAAAGTATTGCTTTCAAAATTCTACAATGTACTGCTAGAAACAACATAGTTATGGAGCAGGCTGAAAGTCTGGGAGAAAGGCTCATCAAGTCATTTACGAAATGCCTCTCTAGCAGACAAGGCATTCCCAGCAATCAAAACACATTAAGTTTCAATGACACGCTGTGTTTTAGACCACAAGTGCTATATCCATATTGAAGTAGTTTAAATATAAATGAGTTCCACAGACATGCCAGGCAAAGAATTACTGCCAAAGGTAGATGACCATGGGCCAAATGTTTGAATGGCAGCCCAGAGTTAGGTCTCAAAAAGTTGGAAATAAATTGTCCAAAGAAATTCATACTGTGCAAGAAAAGGCAGAGTTTAGAATTCTAGCCACTTAAAATTCATTTACTCACTGTATTGCCTACTATGTGTACACTGGACTTAGTAACGGACATGCTACAAAGCTAACAGGATGAATACAGTAAAGAAAGCTAGTGTCTCAGTTTCTTATTCCTGCTGAAGCAAACCCTTGAGCTTACCATAAACACATTATAGCCTTTTTAGCTTACTAAGGTTGACTTGACTTGACTAGATGGCTTTTCTGTATTCATACTTGGAGTCTTTTATATGGTGAGTGTTGGTGGCTAGATCCAGGTCATCCATGATGTCTCCACTCAATTATCTCAAGTAGCAGCAGGATTGACCCACAGCATGTCTTTCTCTCTCCACATCACATTATCACTAGACAAACTTTATTGGGGTTCATGACTCTGAATTCCAAGAATACAAAACAAGAGCTGTCAAATAATTAGAATTCAGAAGCCACTGAAGGCCATATTTGGAGATAGTCAAATTAATACCAGTGACAGAAGAGAGAGAAACTGAGCTCTGGCCATAGACAATGAACAAAGATAACTCACAAAGCATATTAGCTAGCATCTAATCATCAAATACTCCCAAAGTTCAGAAGGGTATACTTATGCATTAACAGTTACTATGTTTTGCTTTTTACATTCTGAGAGACATGTTGAATGACAAAGATTTGATACAGGTGACATTAAGTTGCTCATCATAAAAATGTATTTCACAAAAATATGTGTTGTATGAAGGGAGAAATACAACTTTATAGGTAAATGGTCAAAGCTTAAGAAGGAGTTTAAAGAAAAGGTTAATGGTCCATGAAGTAAAGAGATATTTATCCCTGGCAGTGTGTTCAACTCAGCAGCAATGCAGGTGGCAGCCCATTGGCCGAGATGTCTGGGTTTCTTCTTTAGTACATTGGCAGCCTGGAAGAGAAATGGAAACCAGGAGTTAGATCTTCATAAAGAAAAGTCTGTGGCCCAGGTTGCCACTAGAGCCAAAACAGAGGCCTGGTATCTGGGCTAGAGCCTTTAGCTGGGGGTAGGGTGGTCATGCCACAGCAGGGGCCATGCAGACATTGGTGGCCTGTGCTGCCACACCGGTCCATAGTGTCATCTGGGTTTAGGCTGCTGCCAAGGGCCATGTTGAGTCTGTGACTCTACAGCAATCAAGGGCCAGATTGATGTACATAGCTCCTATTGTCACCAAGTACCACAAGGATGCTCAGAGTCAGATCCGCCACCTGAGTCCAGGTTGAAGTCTAAGAGCCAGTATACATCTAGATCTGAGTGGCATGTGTTGCTACTCAATATCATCGTGACATCAGGGCCAGAGCTGCAGCTGAGGGCCGTGTCAGGGTTGCTGCCCCTATTTCAGCCAGGGTCTGCGCTAATTTCAAATACACCTGTTATCATGAAAGGCCATGCAGACACTTCAGACTGAGGGCCATGTTAGTGTCTCAGGGCCATACTGCCACTGGGACAATGGTGACATCCATACCTGACTGCTGCTGAGGACCAGGCCAGGGTCCCTGGTCCTACCATGGCCAGGGGCTGTGCTTGAGTCTAGGTCCTGCATTGCCACCAAAGATCACATAGAGGCCCAGGGTTGGCAGTTGTACCCTAAGGACTTGGTGTTGTCTAGGGACCATATGGCTGCCAGAACCATTCCCACCTGAATGGTCATTCCTTCCACCCAGAGTCAGGATGTCATCCAGGCCCAAGATGCTGCTGAGGAGCATGTCTGGATCTGTGGTCCAGCTATAGCTGGGGTCTATGTAGATGTTTGTGGCCTGTATCACCTCAGGAGGTCTTAGGAACCATGCAAGATGAAATCAGATGGCTATGCTTAACTGGCCCCACCCTTCCTTGGCTCTGGGAAAGCTGACCTACAGCAAGCAACCTCACACTATAGCAAGAGAACTCACAGTACAGAAAGAGAAGTAGCCCCTGCACAATGGAGAGATGGCCTCCAACCCTCAACACAAACCAGAGTGAACTGACTCTGAGAGCATGCATACAGGGGATGTGACTCTGCCCCCTCTACGGAAGTAGGTGGCCCCAGTGGCCCAGACTGACCAGCTTGGCTACCACTTAGGCTCACAGCCTGCCCACAACCCTCCCTAGTACATCATCTAGAACCTGCTGGAGCTGGTAAAGGGACTGGTCCTGCAGAATGATACCTGAAAGATCTCCCAGACTAATGGCAGCCACAGGATAATCCAGAGTTGTTCCGGTGAGGATCCAGTGATGATGGTGAACCAGAAACCAGAGGCCTTGAACTAGATGAGTGTCTCATTGCAATGAACATTTGCCTGTAGAACTGACGGGATGAAGAGGTATACTGTATGACACATCGAAGCCTCCAGTGCCACCAGGACAAATGAAGAGGTGCTAGAGAGGCAGGAAAGACAGAGAAGCAAAGAGATTTTTCTGTTGTTGTAGAGATTTTTCTGTTGTTATGGGTTTTGTTGGCTTTTGTTTGGTTTGTTTGTTTGTTTGATTGATTTGACATTTGTTTGCTTGCTTACTTTGCTTTGTTTTCTTTTGTGGGCAGGGGCAGGGATGAAGAGAGGGGATGGGGGATGGGAGATGAGCAGAATTGAAGTGCATGATGTGAAACTCCCAAAGAGTCAATAAAGAAGTCATATTTTTAATAAAGAAATGCGTTATGAGCATCTCAAACACGTTCACAATTCTGTTCTTTGTGGAAGATGAGGTTGAGACAGCCCAAATTAAAGCTCTTGGAAGCATATCTCTTCAGGGTCCTGAATCTACCTGCTGCCTCTCTCCAGACAATGCTACCCAATAAACTCTGCTTGTAAGAGATGGGTTACAGGCTGACTTCAAGGCAGAAATCAGGCCTTATAAACAATTTCTCTGACATTTCCACATCAACAAATTACAAAAATTAAAGATATTCTTCCTTACATAAGTAATACATGCCGATGGTATGAAATCAGAAAATACAGAGCAGAAAAAGTTAAAATTATCCTAATCTCTGTCTGAAAAAAATAACTGTCAACACTACAAGACAGACTCTAGGTTGTTTTTTTTCTTGTACATTTATAAAAGTATGTATATGACATTGTTTTATATTGGTGGTTAAAGAATTTAGGAGTCCAAAGCAAAATTAAAAAATATATCCGTGATTCAAACAATACACATGTCAAAATGACCCCATGGAACTTTGAAGTGATTCTGGATCTTTGTAAATGGGGGCCTTGTGTGTCTGCAAGGCCGTATACTCTTGAAGTTGTTAGGGCTAGGGTTAGGGTTAGGGTTAGGGTTAGGGTTAGGGTTAGGGTTAAAGTTAGGGTTAGGGTTAGGGTTAGGGTTAGGGTTAGGTGAAGCCTAAATGGTTTACACCATGGAACTTTCTTCTTCCTTCCGTTTTCCTTATCTCTAGGACTACCAGACTGTTGGGAGCTCCAGACATGGCGAAAGTCAATCCAAGGGGTGGTGCTCTTAGACTAGGGAATTTGCTTTCAGATACTTCCCAGTTTCTACTAGATGCCTGCTGTTCCCTTTGCTCATCGCCTTTCAAAAAATCCAGGCTTTTCTATAATTCCCAGAGGCTTGGGCAGCCACCCATAGGACACTGATGACTGACCCAGCAGAGTAAGTACCAAACTGTACAAAGTTGTTTTGCGGAGAAACATGAATTTGTCCTATTGGATCTGGGACTTGTTTGGACATGTGACTTTCCCTTCTTTCCAATTTCTACCTTTAAGAATGACCGTCTTATGCCAATGTCACATGTATGTATATATTTTGAAAGCTGAAAACCTGTTTTATGTTTCCAGGGTCTGTAGAAGGAGAGGAGGTTTGTTTCCATGTAGCGTATTACCAGAGAAGCCTCAAAACCTGATCAAGATAATTTCAGAGCTTAAATTTTGGACTTTTGGAATTGATTACATTATATTACTTTCTTATTTTTGAGACAGTCTTATTACAGAGCCCAAGATGGAACTCACTATGAAAGATCAGCTGCTGGTCTTCAACTTCAGTCTGCTCACTGCTGGAATTTTGGACAAGGGCCACCACAGCCAGCTGTGACTTGATTTTATTTATGTGAGATTTCTGATCTAGAATCAATTCAATAGGTCATGAATTCTAAGGAGTTGAGGCAGGGGAAAGTATACTTTTAACATGGGTTGGATATGAATTTGGGGAAGCCATAGAATATTCTGTTAGATACGGAAATGGTGTATTCCATGGTCCTATGTGTCTCTGTGCCTCTGTGTCTAAATTTCCCTTGTGTCATAAGGATATAAGTCATTGAATTAAGCAGGCAGGAGCTTATATAAACTTGATTACATCTGCTAAACTACATTTTCATGTAAGCTCACATTCACAAGCACTGTAGGTTATTTAATTTATTATTTAAATAATTCATTTAATTAATTAAAATCAAACCTTGGTGCCTATGAATGTAAACTTACATGGAAATTTAGACACAGAGGCACTGAGGAATTATCCCATGGGATGACAGAGGTAGACTCTGGAGGGTAATAGCCATAACCAAGGAACATAGGACTGCTGTCAGCACCCTTGAGAGTGTTGCTGACCAAGGTTCTGCCAACTCCTTGATTTCAGAATTCCAACCATTGTGGCTTGAATGTAAAATGTCCTCTGTAGTCACATGTGTTTAAATACTTGGTTCCCAGTTGGTGGCTTTGCTTTGGAAGAGTCTATAACTTTTGAGGGTAGAGATTCACTAGAGAAAATGTTACTTAGGGGTGAGTCTTCAGATTTTATAGCTCTATTCCATTTCCTGTCTGAGCTCTACTTCCTGACCTCAGACTCCATGTGACCATGTGACACTCTTGACATCATGCTTTTTCCACCAACGTGAACTATATCCCTTCTTAAGCCACGAGGCAAAATGAACCCTCCTTTAATCATCTTTGTCTGGTATGCTGTCAGGTCAACAAGGGGAGTAACTAATAAGCCAGTCTTCACAATAGGAAGAAAATTATTTGGAAGGCATTGAGTATATAAGAACACTAATTGTGATCATTTGGAAAGGTTCTAGTAGTTAAACACGGAAGACGGACTTAGGACAAGATGTCAGTACAGACATGGTCAGAAGGCTCCTGCATTGGTCTAGGTAGGAGGTGATGGTGGCTTAGGCGAGGGTGATAGTGACAGGCCTAATAGCTGATTAACTGAAACGTGCTTGGAAGAGAGGGCTGGTGGGACTGGTTGGTGGATGGGAACAGGAGGGAGAAGGACCGAGAGGGTCCTAGGATACACTGAAGACGGTGTTAGTGAAGCCTTGTGTGGATGTTGGTGGTCAGATACTGAGGGGGAGAGGTGGGAAGTTCCAGGGCTCCCAGGACGGAATTCATCAGATTTCCAGGGAAATGCCAAATGGTTACTGGTTCTTTCGAGTCCAATGTCTTAGACAGTTCAGAGAGTACCCAAGACTTGCAAGAACTTCTCCACAGGATTCACCCTGGAAAAGTCTTCCTGAAGGTGACCACTGGGGCCTGAGATAAGGCATGACATCCTTAATTCTGACATTCAATCTGTCAGCTTCCCCCTCAATGCTCAGTTTAAGTTGTGATCCACCGTTTGCCCCTAAAAGAAGTCTGGATACAACATGAAAACTAAATCATAACATATAACAGGGCGTGTGTCACAACAAGGGGCTTCCCACACTGATAAAGTTTTGAAAGCAATGTTTGTCATTTATTTCCCTGTTTCCAAGGAGATAGCTAGGCTTAGAGGTCAGTAGAAGAAGGATATAATACAAAAATATTTCTTAACCAAAATAATTTTTTAGTCTTTTTTTATTATTAAAAAAAGGAGAGCACAGTGAGTTGTTTCTGAGCCTGTTCTTTTTAGCTAGCTCTCTCCTCAGGACAGTATAGTCATCTGGCCTCATGGGGTGACAAGGAGCAGTGGATGTCCCAGGTCTCTGCTGCCAGTCTTGCAAGCTGACTCACGACGCATCAGTCACAGTGTCCACGGCTTCAGAATGAAGGCTTCCCTACCCACAGCCAGCTTGTGCCTGGGAGCCCAGATCCTTCCAGGAGCATCCTTGAAGGTTAGCACGGAAAGAGCAGTGTGGGGCTCATTTCTGAGGCTCCGCGGGAAGGGGAGATCCGGGCCAAGGTGGGAGTGCCTTTAGCTTAGCCTTATTAATAAAATAGGGTTGATGATTTATTCATAGCTGGCACAATGCTGCTCCACTCCAGAGGACAGCACAGAACTGTTACATTAGAGACGAACAGATGCTGTGGAAGCGATGAGAGGCACCGGAGAAATGGTCTCGGGCTGCTTCTATAAGGCGGTGCTCAGATTTATCTGACCAAGTCAGAGCTAGCTGCAATTATTTGTGTATTGTGGATGTGGTAGGATAAACGCTGGCAGTGGAGGTCCCTGGAAGGGTACCCCTTGCTTTTCCATTTCTCATCTAATGAGCGTTTGTTCACCTTCTTGCTTTATCCTCTCCTCCCCGGTACCTGGAAGATGCCTGAGTTTGTAATTCAAGATGCGTTATCTGGGGAATAGGAGCATAATACACATCTGAACATGATCTTCATCAAAGTCAGATCGCCGAGGAAGTCGAAGAGTCAGTGCATCGAGGCTTTTCCGGTGCACGGCTGAGCATTCAATACTTTCAAAGATTAAATCCTTTAAGATCACATATCTTGCTAACCAAATGAACTGTAGAAATTTTAGACTACACTGCAGATTCCTGATAAATAGCAGGAAGGGATGGACATTTTAACGTGTCGATTGCTGTCCTGCTTGTTAAGGATAGATGTCTGTTTGTGCGTCTGTGCGTCAATGGTTAGTCGGCTGCTGTGGCTCAGAGGGGAGCTAGGATTTGACAATCGTCAGAAAAACAAAGGCATGCATTGCCTACTCCCCAGCAAAACAAACCAGCCTTGGCTGCTGCAATCAGCAACAGCAGAAATCTGGTTTCTTTACTACCCTGTTGATGGGTTTCCTTGTTGCCTCCATCTGAGTTCCCCTGGCCTCCCCAGAGACTCCAGGAGAATTAGATCAGATGTCAGAGAAGAGTCTTAGATCTTCCCTCCTTCCTCACCAGACTAGAAGGGAGAATTCAAGACCACAGGAGGCCCCCCCCTGAGAAAAATCTCATTGTTGGTGTATATGCTTCCGCCAAGCATGAGCCTCCCTCCCCTCTGCTCGGCTTCCTGAGAAGAGATCAGGTGTTTCAAAGCATTTCCACCTTTACTAATTTTTAATGCCTCTGCCAGACTGAAACTTGCCCACTGGAAAAAAAAATAACCTCTGCTTGTTGAAATAGCCCAAATAAAAGTGATCCTTTAACAGTAGCACATTCAATGTCCTCCCTGACTACAGTAGGAGCCAAGGAGTACAGCTTGTGCCCAATATGTTATGCATTAAAAATGTCTCCGGGAAATGATTGCCCTGGAAATCAGAGTACGTTTGAATATGGTTCTCCAAATTCCCAGTCTCCTCGTGAAGAATCAAGGGTCTCTCACCTTGGTCCTTTCCCGCCACTCCTTGGGTAACCCTTCCCATCCTGCTCATCGCTTCTCTTTTCTTCCTCTCCCAGTCTTCCCGTCCCAAAGCCACCCACCAGGGTCTACATGAAAATGGGGAGGGTAACCCTATAATTTGTTTTCCCAGGCCATCAGGAGATAACACAACCTATCAGCCAGAAAATAAAGCTCCCTGACTGTCGCTGCAGAAATTACAGCTAATTACATGCTCCATGCTTCCTGCAAAAGATATATATTTTACGCGGCTGTGCAGACTTTTTCCCTAGGCTGTATTTAAAGGTTAGTTTCTGACCTGCCTCCTGGTTTAATGGAATAGTTTAAATATTACAAGTCGTTTCTTGATTCTAATGACTTATATCTCCCCTGGCACCTCACAAAATCCTTATCGTGCCAGAGGAAATCTTTGGAAGAAGCGGGGGAGTCTCCATGATCATAAACAGAATAGCACGCTGTGGGGTTGCTGGATTCAGGATGGGTCTTCTTGGGTGGTAGAAAGCTTTTGGCCCTGGGCCTCGCACTTACCAGAGCACCTGAGGCATGCGGCTGAGCAGCATGAACTCGCACTCCCCGGCCTCCTTGTGATTGTTCACTCAGCTTAACTGTCAGCTCCTGCTAAGAACCTGTAACATCTCATTTTGCCAGAGACCGTGGAAGAGTTGAGCTTTGCTTATGGCCAATTCGGGTAACTGAGTGTTTGTGATTTCCCACTTTAATGCATAGATGTGGGGACGGGCTAAAGCTGACTCTGCATATCGAGGCTTTTCTTGTTCCTTTCCTTTTCTAATGAAGGTCTGGACCCAAACAGATCTTCATGCTGTACATTTGTGGGGAATAGATGCTCCCATTCAACTTTTCTAATTATGCACATTGCTAATTCTTTTCAACAGAAAAAAACCACCTAAATGCAAGAATACAACAACTAAAGTTACACCGGAGGTACAGAAAAGAAGGAGTTACAGGGAAGAAATTAAAATCTGATTGCAGGAAAGCAAGTGTCAACAAGGCATGGGGAGCTCCATCAACTTAGATGGCTGCAGTGTGGATTTCTAAGTCTTTGGCTGCTTGACTCTAAAACACGCTTTGGAAAGAAAGAGTCCAGCATGGGTACAGATGACTTTTCTGTGTGGTTCCAATGTCCCAAGTTCCCTTTCAGTGCCAAGCAGATTGGATAACGCAACGTATAACCAAGTTAGTCAGTTTTCCATCATCAATAATAAACACCCGAGGTGATGAACCTACAAAGAGAAAAGGGTCTCTTTGGTTGTGCTTTTAGAAATTCAGGTCTGTGATGAGCGGTCCTCACTGCTCTGGACTTGTGAGGACACATTACAGTGGACGTGCACAAAAGAGCCAAACCACTGACCTCTCCTGGACAAGACACCGAATAGGAAGAGACCTCAGTCCCTTCATTTCTTTTCAGGCTAAGCCTCCAATGAGCTGAAGTTCTCCCACAAGGCTCTGCTTCCTAAAGACTTGGCCATTTCTCAACAGCACAAATGGGAGATGAAATTTTTCAACATTTTAGCTTTGGGGGTGGGCATTTAAAATCTAAAAGAGAGTACAGAAATGTGTCAGCCATGTGTGATATTTCATATGGAACCAAATTCTCTCACAATATATCTGAACTGAAAACAGTAGAACCCTCGTAGTTGTCAATCTGTAGGATATAAGATAAACTTCATAAAAGATTTAAACTGGCTACTGGTTAAGGGATTTGGCCCCCAATTGGTTATCTAATACCAAGGAGCAGTCAGTCCTAAAGATGTATACATATGAACAACACTAAATGGACTAATCATATTGTATATATATATATATATATATATATATATATGTGTGTGTGTGTGTGTGTGTGTGTGCTTGCACAAACAATGTTTTAAGCAAAGAGAAACAAAAACAAAAGAAAACGATGGGGATAATGCATGAAAGTTGAGGAGGGCTTGGAAGTAGAGAGAAGAGTTAGAGGGGAAAGCAGGACATGGAAACAGAGGGCGGAAGGTGATCAGAGTATATTATATACCTGTATTACATGGCATAATGTGATTCACTACTCTGTTAAGGTAATAAATGATAATGGGAAGCAAAAATGAAAAATTGATAAGATTTAAGCTGCTTAAATGACTTTGAGGTCTCCCTCAGAGCACAACCCAATTCAAAGTTCTTATACTGTGGTGGGCAGGAGCTCCCACCTAGGAACATTGATTTCCTTCCAAGGATGTCCCTAACTACACTCAAAGCTCCCCAGAAGAGACAATTTACTGTAGGAAATATAAATTTATCTGATTATTTGCTAAATGATTATTAAATAAGGGCATCATGGAGGGACTCAGAGAGAGACAGAGAGGTAGCAAACCTGTATCAGCAGGAGCCTGGCAGATGCTTTACTTGAAAAAAACAAAGTCCGAGAAACCAAAGCCCAAGTAGGGACTTTGCTAAAGTGGAATGAATGGGAATCAATTCAGACATAGCACCGCATCTAAAAGGGCGGGAGTCATTGAAGTTGGGTTTTTAACTGTCCAATGCAGACAGAATACAGAAAAAATCAAGGATTCTTCTGCTTACCTCTCTATGATGAGAAACAACAGCCCATTTTGCTCTAGATGGGTGTTCATCTGATGGGTACTTCAGCATCTTCCTAGATAGTGCAAATGCGGGGCTTTAGTTTAATGCCTCTGTCAGCCAGACAGAGATGCCAGCTGAAGGGAAAAGGATGGGGAAGTCCTCTGGGGTGAGCTGAGGATGCCAACAGGATGGGGAAATTCAGCTTCACTAAATATTTATCCAGGCTTCTGTAAACCTCAGTGAGGATCTGAGGAGGCCTGTCTCCGCCGCAGAGAAGGCACTTGCAGAGATGTGACTTGGAAGTTGGTGGTGTCACTGGTGCTGCCGCATTGTTGATTAATGTACTTGAAGTATATATTACAGAAACAGAAAAGGAAATGTGACTTCAGGGACCCATTAATTCCTTAGGCATAAAGTGTTTGAAGGTTCAAAGGCTTTGTCAAAGCTTATTTTAAATTTAAAATTTCCATTGCCAAGGGATTGATTACCATTCTTATATTAGCTTTGTCAAACACAAAGTTGATCTTAGTTCTTTCAAAGTTTGGGGACACTTAATTGTTTTCAGACCCTCCTTTTTCTTTTCTTCCTTTCTTTCTTTCTTCCTTTCTTTCTTCCTTCCTTTCTTTCTTTCTTTCTTTCTTTTTTTTGAGGGAAGTTGGCCTTACAAGTTCTCTCAAGGACAGGCTCGCTTTCACTTTACAAGAACAGCAAGATGAAAATGCCCAAACAAGCAGTGACTCTCCCCACCTCTAGGGTCTTGGAAGTCATTTCTGGGAGTCTGGTGTTACACCTTCCACTCAAATATGCCTCATGTTAAGCTGTGTTTGGTTTCCCTTTGACTTCAAAGCACCAACTTACTTAAGGTCTTTGTGCATATGAGGCTTAGCTATGCTATGCAGGGACTTTTTAAATTTTCCTCATCTTTCTACCCCAAAGGACTGCATGAGGTTCTTTTTATAGCTCCCTCCTGTCCTCCTCTGGTCACTGTTTAAGGCGCTCTCGTAAACAACACCCTGAGAGAGTCCATCAAGACATCGACTGCACCAGGCTTTATCTGTGCTGTCCTGATAGTGAACTTGGTCCTTCACGACAGACAGCAACATTTCCAGCTCCTTGGAAAGCCAGCAAAGAACTGCCGTTTCACACAAGGGTGAGGGCAGGAAGCATGCCTTTTCAATGGCACCTGAGTTTAGGCAATGTGTGAGGACTGTGAGGCTGCATTTGAAACAAAGGCATCATCACCTGAAGCTTTGCCCAGGAGAGCAATAATGAGATTGCTGAGGCTAAGGGCAGCTCAACAGAAAAATCTTTTTTTCTCATGAGAAAGTATTTTCTTATTTCTTGCCTTGTAGCTTTGCCTGGGTCCATATGCATGTGTGTGCCTGTGGGGAAGCCCAAGGTTGACATCAGATAATTTTTTCATAGATGCAACCTTGCATATTGAGGCAGTCTCTCTCTCTCTCTCTCTCTCTCTCTCTCTCTCTCTCTCTCTCTCTCTCTCTCTCTCTCTCTCTCCCCTCCCCCTCTCCCTCTCCCTCTTGCCCTAGAGCCCTGCCCCTGGTCAGCTCGTCTGACTAGTCAACTTACTTAGGAGAATCCCCATCTTTGCCTCCTGTGTTTTGATTACAAGTAGACTCCCATGTCAACATTTGTGTGGGATTCAAATCCTGATTGGAAAACCTGAATGACAAGTACTTTCTCCACTAAATCATATCTCTGACCCTTACTTGCCTTTGTGCCCCTACTGCGATGCTTCTGGAGCCCAAAGTCCAGCGTGGGTGCCTCCTTTAGACTCAGCTTCCTGAATTCAAGGCTGTCTATGAGGACACTGGGAAGGGTAGGCAGTGTGGTGGGCTCAGGGCTCTGGGATTGGCTCTCTACAGATGTGCAAAACATCAACACCACAAGGCCACCAGACTCCAAGGCCTTGCTAAACAGACATGTGTTGTCCCATCTGGGAGAAGTACGGTCATTCACAGCGATGTTTGTCTCAATGGCTTTTCTATCTGCGCTCATTTGGGGGCGTGTGTATGCCCGGATCCTATTGCTATCATTTGGAAGGCAGAGAGGTAAGACTGGGTTGGTGTGAAGAAGTGTGGCTTTGGTGACAATACTCTGCTCTGGTTTTCTGAGTGTGGGTTCTGGTCCTTCTTCTTGGATCTATGCCTCTTCTTCATCCTTCCAATCTGTACCCCAGAAATAAACATAGTCCAAATGCCTGCTTTGAATCCTCTGTCCCCAGAGAACTGGTAAAGAAATCAAACCTGAAAGACTTTAATTCACCCTCAATTTCTAGCAGCTCTCATCTATTAATTACATAAAAACAGTGAGTTGTGATAATCACACTAACATTCACAGACCCAGAGAAGTTAGATAAACAGGAGCGGTCTAGAAGGAATGCATGTGTCTCCCTGGGAATGGAAAATAGAATAAATTTTGTGGGTGGATAGAGAGCAGATCAGGAGGCATCAGGCAGGGGAGGGAGAGATGGAGAGAGAGAGAGTACAGGGAGAGACAGCTGGAATGGGCACATTTAGGGGGTAATGTGGAAACCTAGAGCTGTGGAAACTTCCTGGAACTGATAACGGTGACCCTAGTGAGAATTCCTAGTAATGGAGAATGTGGAGCCTGAACCAGCCATCTTCAGTAACCAGGAAAGCCTTCCGGTGGTGTGACTGGGATACCAAGGTAGCCACAAAACCTACGACCTGTCCTTCCTGAAAGATGTGCTGAGGCGGTGGTAGCTCAGACCATGAGGGAGTGGCCAGCCAATGACTCTCTAACTTGAGGCCCACATCAGGTGAGGGAGTCCACATCTGGCACTGCCTGGATGGTCAGAATTTGGAAGTTGGATGACTCAAAGACCTAGGAAGAACCTAACAGGACTGACAACAAGAAAACACGTCAATGAAATGATTCCTAATAATATTCTGTTATACTCATAGGTGGGCGCCTACCCCAATCATCATCAGAGAGGCTTTTTAACAAGCATTCTTCCTGCCAGCCTGATCCCAGAGTCATGTCAGTCCCAAATGAACACGCAGGACACTATATTAATCATGAAGCTGTTGGCTGTTTGCTATGGTTTCTTTTTGGCTAGCTCTGATTTAATTATTAGCCCATAACTGCTAATCTGAGCATTTCCAAGTGGTCTTCTCTTACCAGAGAAAGGGTCCTTACCTTTTACTCCTCTAGGGTCCTACATGGTGACTGACTGTGCCTCCATTTCCTAGAATCCTCCACCTCTCCTAGTCCTACCTTTTTACTTCCCTATTGGCCAACAGTGCTTATTCATCAACCAATAGGACAAACATATACACAGAAGGACGTCCCCCATCAAGGCTTCATTGAGCAACTAATGGGAGCGGATACAGAGACCCACAGCCAAACACTAGGCAGATCTTGGGGAACCCCACAGAAGCAGGGGAGGAAGGATTGTAGGAGCAAGTGTTGCCAAGGACACCGGGCAAACATGGCCCACAGAATCAGCTAACCAGGTCTCATAGGGGCTCACAGAGACTGAAGAGGCAGACACACAGCCTGCATGGGTCTGTGTTAGGGGCTCTACATACATGTTGTGGTTGTGTAGCTTTGTGTCTTTGTGGAACTCCTAACAATGGGAGTGGAGGTGTCTCTGACTCCTGCCTTGTACAGTCTTTATGAAGGGTTTGTGCCTAGTCTTACTGCATCCCATTATGCCATGTTTGGTTGATATTTCTGGGGGACCTGCTCTTTTCTGAAGGTAAACAGTAGATCTCGGGAAGAGGAGAGGTGAGAGGAGGATTGGGAGAAGAAAATGAAAGGGAATCTGTGATCAGGGTGTATTGTATGAGAGAAGAATAAAGAAAAAGAAAAAATAGTGAATTGTTAATGAAAATGTGTGTTCGCGTGCATGCGTGTGCGTGCGTGCGTGCGTGTGTGTGTGTGTGTGTGTGTGTTTAGACACAGAGAATTACAGAAGGTATCAAAACCAATGGTGAAGACATGTGGGGCCTGGAGCAGTAGGAGAACAGTTTCTTGTGGCAGAATCTTCTGCTTACTGTGGTACATGGACAGCTAAGGCCCAGTGGGTGTTCTCTCCTTTAAGGCAATGAGTGATGATGCTATAGACCAGAAAAGAAGAGAAGATGTGAACTGCAAACACAAAACCTCAGGCTACAGTATAGTTAACACTGGAAAATATCCCCAGGGCCTGGCTGATAGATGGCCTGGAGAATCATTTATGGAGACTGGTATTTGCCATCTGGTCAACCTTAAATTGTTCCTAGGTATAATATTCTGGTCTGGCAAGCATTAGTGAGGGGGCAGGCATGCCCCCGCCCCCCCCAGCAGTGAAGGATTCAAAGGTGCTGACTCTGTGTATTATTATTCAAACATTACAAGCCAATTTCCTCCCATCCTAAAAGCATGGAGACATCCCTCATATTCTCTAACTACACAGTCTTCTCCTCTGAGGTGCCCCAAGGCTTTCCCAGTAAGTGCTGGAAACCAGCCTTCCTTCTGTATGTTCTCTTCATCTAACAGAAAGAGGAGACTTGTGCCCACCCCACCCACCATTCCTTTAGCATTCAACAGGCAGCAAACTAAGTTCTAGACATTTTTCTCTAGGAAACTAAAGCGGAAACTACAGAACTGTTTTCACTGATGTTTGATGTGTTTGAAGTCAAGACAAGAGAAAAAAAATCAAACATCTGGCTTTTATCACCTGTAAGACATTTCCTTCTGACTTCATGCTTTCTGGAAGATTTATGTTTATGAATTATGAATAGTTATAGCATAAGAGGATTTAGAACTCAGTAGCAAATAAGTTAAATTATGTTGCTTAACTTTAACAAAAATACACTGACCTAGACATACAGGATACCATGGTGTGGGGAATGTATTATCATTTTCATTTTATAGATGAGGATGCTGAAAAAGAAAAATGTTAGGTAACTCATCTTGGGTTGCAAAACCATTGAGTATTGGTCCGTGGCTCAAAATGAGATGAGTGCGACTCTTAAACTTTAGGTAATAATGGTTTTTAAAATATGGAATTAAGATAGAAACCATGAAATACTAAATGTTTAGTGTGTGTGGCTGACATAATAAAATACCTAAGACATGATGCCCAAACAGAGGAATGTGGCATCCTCACAGTTCTGCCAGCTATAAGGTCAAGGTGACTGCAGGTCTGGCCTCTCTTGAGGCTTCTCTTTCTGGCTTTGCTGTGTTCCCGCTCCAGACTTGTAGGGTCTTTTCTGTGCATATCCTTGGTGACTTCATCTTATAAGACCATGAGACCCCTGTGAAGCTGCTTTCCTGTG